ATTAGAATGCCTTCCCAGCATCTTTAATGAAACTCCTCTTTGAGACATGAACATTAAGCTGTGCTCCTTCTGGCCTGTTCTTCATCAGAACTAAATTTCTGCCCTCAGACTGTATTAATGACTCTGCTGATGACAAAGGAGATGAAACAAAGCACAGCCCATTCCACAAAACCAGCATTTACTTTTCTAGGCTAGGAGAAGCATATTAAAATGGGCAATGACAGCTAGTTGTGTTAGAAATTAATGATACAAGGCTCAAAGTACTGATTGCATATCCATAAGAGGTTTCATGTTCAAAGGGGGAACATTTGATTGAACTGAGTCTATATTTAGAAAAATGGGATCTGTTCCTTTCAAGCACTACGTTAGATTTGGATAAATTTCTTTTAATAACATTGCACATTTCCTTCCTTTTTTTTTTTTCCTGCAATACTTGGCATATTTTTGTATGTCACTTTAAAAAAAACCCAAAACAACTCTAAAATTTAAAGGCAAAAAATATTTGGTTTAAGTCCTGGCTGAACAAACTAGACCATCAGTCGATGGAAATCTTGCTTTCTCCTATTTTAAACTGAACTAAAAGTAACTGAATTCTTTGTGAACCTTTGTATATGTATTTTGGTGTTTGCAATAAGAATGGCATTCTGGGCATGCCAACCTTTTCCTGTCTTGCAGCAATCCTCCTGTAATGGGCAGCTCAGGACACTTGACCTTATGACTAGGGAGAAGATCATTAATTGCCTACAGAATGTGCCATAATTCCTGTTGTCGAAGTCAAAGGTGCTTTTTAAAATGAACAACTGTATCTGCAGTTTGATCAGAACAGCGGCAAGAAAAATAAACCTGTGAAAATCCATTAATCAATTCAGTCTTTTTTCTTTTTCTTTTTTTTTTTCCTGGCCTCTTGCACTGCAGCTCAGTATTACTGCATCTGGCAAAGCCCCAGGCATGGCCTTACAGATTGTTTCAGACCTCAGGTATGCAGCTAGCACAGATTCCCACCATAAACCTCCTTGGACATAATTAAAAAGTTAGTTGACCAGATTCTGAAAACAAGGAGTAAAGGGTTTGTCAGCTTCATTTTGGCATGGCTTTCATATGCTGTCACCTGAAGGAGTGTCAAGTTAACCTTGAGCACGTGTATGGGGAGAGGAGGTGAAAGTTTCTGCTCATCTGAAAATAATGTAAACCTCAAACAATTAACTATTACTCAGTTTTGAGTGCAAATGTTCTCACATTATTTTGCAGCACTCCTGGTCCTCCCAAATTAAGAAAATCCAGAACATTCAACAGCCTCAGCAGTGACTGAGAAAGGAAAAGTAAAACTGTGCAAGTGAGCTAAAAAACAATCACATGATAACTCTAATGCTGAAGAGTACTTTCAAGTAACGTAGCCATTCAGCTTCTTTTTCCTGCTCTTTAATCTATAATGCTCTTATCCCTCACAATAAAAAAAGTAGTGGCCATTACCACCAAGTGATCTTGTTATGCTTCACAGCTCCCAATGTATTGTTGTTTGCTTTGTTCAAACACTTTTGAGTTATTATAATATTTGAGCACCCACAGTTCCCTATAGAAGGAGTTTCACAATTAATTGCTTACTTTTTCATTCCCAGTCTGCGTTTTCTTGCTTATGTCTTATTTATTTGTTCTTGTGCTGACATCATCCTTCAGACAGAACACCTCCTCTTCCTTCCTGAAGTTTATGTGAACCCTAACTACCTCAATAAACAGAATTTTATGGCAGCATCCTGAGAGTATTTCCAAAATGCTCAAATCAATGCTGAATAGAGATAACCAAGACAGTTTAATGTGCTATTTGAGTGCCAAAAGAAGCACAGCAGCCTCCCTTGGCTCAGGAGGATAAATTAACTCAAACGATGAACGACAGTAGCAGAATATTTTTACATTGCTGCATATAGTACTTTAAAACCACATGAAGAAAGAGTGATTCTTATCGAGCAAAATCTATCCAAGATTGCTCCACTTGCAATCAAGTCACAGCATTGATTCTTTCTTCACATTTCCAGGGAAATGCACATTCGTACCATGCCTTGTTGTAGCTCGTTAGTGAGAAATCCTGCTTGGCACATGTGGTTGATCAAACCAATCTGGTGCATGGAACAGACACAAGCTGTCACATGGCACAGCAGCCCTGCATGATGTTCCTGGGATCAGCTTTTCACATGAGCACTGTGCTGAGTGCACAGCTACACAAGAGCAGCAGCTACAGGCACACACTGACCACAAGGCCTGGCATGCCAGATGAGCCATCATGTCACCTCACATACAACATCTGCACAGGTTAATGAGCTTCAGATTATTAAAATATTTGTAATTCCTATAAAAGAAACTAGCGAGCTCCGGGAACTTGTTCTTGAGCAACAATTTTCCACAGGAAGGGTAGGTGTGTTTTGGTAACTACTGTTAGCACATTGAGATGGGTGCTTTCCATAAGCTGTTGTTTCCTCCTTATTCATCCTGGCAACCAGGTGAAGTGGAGCTCAGTATTCCCACTGAGAGAGATCATCAGCTGTCCCCAGAGCAAGAACAGGGTTAGGATGCAAATTAGCTGGCACTAGAGGTAAATACTCTAGACAAAATTTAAGATGAGTTTCAAATTTCTGAAATGTCAAGAGAAATTTATATAAAAAGTCAGAAATTTCAAATATTAAACTTCATCTGTGTGTAGAGGTGTGGGGAATATTTCCTGAAACCTGCGCTTCTTTGTGCCTGCCTACAGTGGAAACTACAAAGATTTGTCTGTGTGCTGAGGAACAAACAGGAGGGATGAAGGGGGAAGCAGAGGTGTGCCGTCAATTCTACAAAGGTTTTTATTTTATTCAAAGACATACATCTTGGAATCCCTAATCAGCTTGTCCCTTCAGAAACTTGTCAGAGAAGGCAGCAATAAATCATTCAGGCATTCACTCAGTCATTCACTTCATGAGTCCCACTGAGTGCCATCTAGCTAGACTGCTATGAATGTACACAAAACTGAAAATACAAGTGAGTTATGTAACAAATTAACCATATAGGAGATGTCCTGTATGATGGTAATACCTGTGCTAAAATTGTTCAAGGAAAAAAAATGTAATTCAGCACGAATCTGAAGAAATAAACCCTTGTTATTAACATGACCAAAAATGTTGTCAAAATTATAAAACATTATTTTAACATTCCTCTACAGGATCCTCCATCTGGCAAAAAACTACAAGGAACACACATAGAGACTGCAACACATTCACATTCTGCTTTAGCCTATGTAATCTCCACAGACAGTAGTACATGTCTGATGGCAACACACGTATATTGCAAGGTGAGAAATGTTCTGAGCTAATAGATCAAATTAGGAGGAACATTTGAAATCCAAAATATATTTGGAACTTTGTCATGGAGCAGAGCCTGCTGAAGTACTGATGATATCCTCTCCTCTCAATAAAAACCATAGAGCATAATTTACTTGCATTTAGCAGCTGTCTAGCTATTAGGGAATGCAAGGTTTGAAGTGACTTCCTGTTTATTACAGTTCACTTTCTTTGGATATTGCTATCACAGGATCAATCAAATTTATGCGGTAGCTTTATTTATTATCTTTGGACTTGAAACTTTTAGTAGGTTTCCATAAATCTCTGTAATTTGATTTTTAAAATCAAAAACCTTTCCCAGCACTTCAACAAAACAACAGCAGATTGCCACAAAAGCAGTTTTATGTAGTAACTAAAGATAGCTGAGGTGCATAGAGTTCAGTGACCAGCGTTCATTAGATGGAAAGCTCCTTCAGGAGCTATTTGTCTCTTGGTCAATTGAATATGCATATTACACACACCCAAATTAAACACACAATTGTATATTTCTGGCCAGGTTCACTTTAACATATAAAAAATAAAAAATGGCAACATAGTGATAGAATTTTGGAGGAAAGGGAGACATTTGCATGATAGGTTTTTAAATTTTTTTTCTTGGGTAAAAAGAAAAATACACTCTGAGTCAGAAATTCAAATCTGTTTTGTGATTGTGTATCACTGTTCGTACTGTACTTAAAATAGAAATCAATAACAATGCATATGCACAATAAATATTATGAAAATATTCAATAGTGTTATTCTTCTCTCACTTTAAAAGGGATTAGGGAGATAATCTTGTTTCTAAATAGAGAGACAAAACAACACATTTTCCTTTCACTTTCTGAAAAACATGTATCCTGAGTCTTAAAGATTGTCAATATTAAAACCTTCAGTGGAGCTCCTTTTAAAAATGTTTTTAAAACCTTTTCATTGTGTAGCTTTGGATTACAAAACTGTGCAGGTGTTCTCCTGAGCTGACAGCTCTCAAGCTTTTTCAAATGAATCCACATTAAGTTAACTTCTTATAGTAATATTAAACCTCAGAATTAACTCACCTGATTTTTTTTTCCATACATTTCCCCATGTATTTTTTTTTTTTGTCTGTTAGGACGGTTTTAAATATGCCAGCAAAACAACATACAACACAACATTGGGACTTCTGGACAAGCTGAACAATAAAAGGAAAATGAGATTTACAGTAGCTGCACCATTTACTTTTACTATGAAGCAGAGAGGCATTACCAGGCTACATGCTGGTGTTTCTTAGATGTTCAGAGGTTACTGGGCATGTCCTCATGCTGTGCACCTCCACCACGAAACCGAAGTATCAACTTTCATTTGCAGTGCCAAGTGATTGTATGAATTAACATTGCACAGACTGGTATGAGTATCTGCTGAGTTTGTGACTGTAGTATCAGCTAAAAAGGCAGGTTCTAGCAAAAATAACAGAGTAAATCTGTGGGAGACTTCATGTCTTAAGTCCACTGATCAGGAGCACAAGAGAGGAAAACGAAAGTTCCCGAAGTGTTTGAGCAAACCTAAACTTCTTATACCAGTTATGGAACAACTGACCAACCTGACCTAAGTCAGAATTAAACTCACACCCCTGCATATGAGTCATATACAAGAATAAGGCATCAAAGCAGCACTTACAGCTGGAGAATATCAGAGGACATGAGTGTTCATCCATGGGGAAGTTGTGTAGCTGCAGCTGGCACTCAGCGTTGATGGTAAGCCTGAGAAGAAACCAAGGGTCTGTTATTATGTTCCAGCACAGGGAGCAGCCAGAGGAGGAGGCAGGGTAACCTAAAGCATCATGAAAGAATGCTCTGATATCCATAAAAAAGGCCTGAAAGGAAAGAACCTTATTTGTAAATTGCTCATTGGCTATTTAAGCCTGATACAAAACAATGATAATGATCTTAAATAATTTCAGACATATCATCAAGACTTTCTGGATCCCAGGAAATCTGTGCATACGTGTTTCTCTAGAAAATTCATCGCTGAAGGTTCTGGGATGAAAGCAACTATTCTTTACAAAAATAACAGGAAATATGGCTCACGTGGTACGTAATTCCACAAAATTAGAACTTCAGAGCAAAACTTATAAAAATATTCTCCATGTGTACTTATAGTGTGAACTTAAAATTCTTTTAATTTCTTCAGGCTATCTCTCCAAAACTTAATCTCTATATGCCATTCTGTATCTCATAGATGGAACAAAGAGATCAGCAGAAACATCTTCATCCCTACTTGAAAGCTGGTTTTACATGACATCCCTAACACAAAGTATACTATGAACACAGTCAGTTTTAAAATTGCTAACAAAAATCAATAATCTTCAGTCTAATAGCTTACAAAGTGAATGTACTTACTCAAGGAAAATTGAATTAAGTGCTAGTTTATTGTACAGTCTGTTTAAAAAAATACTACCTAGTTTCATGACAGAACTCATGCATGTGGGCTATGTGAGTTTTTCTTTTTGGAAACTAAATAAAAAGATTAAAAACTCTGTGGAAAAAGGTTTGTGTCTCAGATATAGGATGGCACAGAGAAAAACTCTTTCTTGGAAGAGGTCACCTGTGAGGTACTTAATAGCCTTATTGCACTGACACTGGAAGAGGATTTGCAGTGTTGCAGCAGGAGGGCATTCACACCTTGAAAGCGGCAGGGAAGAAGATGGAGAGGTGAAAGCACACTGAACCTTGTGTGCTTTCTCCTGTACACATAATACCCATCAGCACCTGACAGCACCAGGGCACACACTAGCTACCTCTGCCATGTCATACCCATTCTGGCACACAGGTCAGATAACTGGGTTTGAATGCCAAAGCATTAACAATGATCATTCTAGCAGCTTTTCCTGTGTGAAAAGGAGGCTGATCTGAGTGACCAAAAAGGACTCAAAACATCTTTCACATACTAAAAATACTTATTCCAAGTAATTACTTACTTTTAGCTGGTTTAGAGAAATTTTGTAGTCCATTCAACAAATAGTTTCTTTAGTAAGAGGTATACAAGTCTAAATACTTTTGGGTAGATACCTGACCTGAGATACTGAAACAGAACTTAATAGAGAAAAAAACAAAAAACCCATCAAAATCTCCTCAGAAAAAAACCCAACCCAAGCAAGAGAATATTGAAGATGACACCTTAATCCTCAAACTCTTTAGCTAAAGGCAACTGAAATACGCCAGAGCTCTTCACAGTAGAGAAAGCCTAAGAGGGAAAGGGCACTAAAAATATCAACAGCTTTTCCAGATGTTTATTTCCTTTCTTATTGTTTGCCAAAGACTGGCAAAGTACTGGAGCCCAACAGCAGTTGCAAGCACAATCAGCCCTCTAAGTTTCACTAAGAAGGAAATATAGCGTGAAAGGCACGTCTCCGAAACTTGTGGAACATGGCTTATGGCAAAACTCCCTTCTGAACAGCTCATCTCTTCCACAAGTAAACACATACTTTGATTTCCACAGGCTTTTTAAAATGCAAATATATACAGTATTTCTAATACCGTATAGTTGATTTTATCACAAAGATTAGAAAACTGTAAAAGCCTTTCCTCCAGCAATTCACTCTTGTGATGAGATGTGACAGACCATCTTTCAGCATGACTTATTTGAAGAATAGAGTATTGGCATTAACATGAATCTAAAAACGCTTTATCCAGCCCTGCATCTAGCTCCGATCGAAAAGGCTTTTAACAGGTTTTATGGGACTACATATTCCCAATTTTATTACAAGCACTAAAAAGCCCAGCTTGTACAATATAGACAGACTTATTTCCTGTTTCTCAAGGTTTCTTTCTTAGAAAGACAAGACTTTGTTTTTTAAACTTGGCAGTACTTATGCCTGAACAGCTAAATATTTGTAAAGCGTGGCCAAGTACACATCAGGAAGAAAACAGCAGAGCAGAGCAAACACATCGCTGAAAATTACTATTGCTACACCAGAGGTGGGAGAAGCCTTCAGCCCTGCACCTTGCCAAGTGCTCACCTGAGGGTGTACAAGATCTTGCCATCATTCCATATGCGGAGGAGCTGGTTGGGGGTGGTGATCCAGTGGGCCTCTGCTGTCTTTGAGTTACGAAATATCGTGTCTGGGATCCAGATCAAGCCAACCATGTTGCTGTTCAGAGTCAGTATTTTCATGGTGCTGTTGAAGCGAAGACGGCTGTCTGTCCATGTCTGGGCAAAAAATATATCAATTTGATATTCCTGCAAAGAAAGCATGATACATCAATTGAAATCAGTTCTTTGAAGAATCACATTTCACATTTGGTGTTTGATTAGGTCTGTTCTGGTGTGGGGTATGCTCTGGCCAGTGGAACTATGTTTTCCTTTTCTACTGCCTTAGGATTTATTTTTTTTCCAATTTATTTTTTCACCCTTTTATTTTTATGTCTAGCTGCTTAATGAAACTTGCCAAGCACTTCCATTTGTCCTGCACCATAACAATTTCAGCATTAGCACATTCTCTTTCATTGTCTCTGAAAAGTCACAGCTAGAAGGTATAATTTACACAGACTTCTTTGTCATAGGACCAGTAAGAAACATGAAACAAGAACAGAACACACATAAGCTAGAGAACGGTAAATTTCCCAGATTATAGCAATGATTTTTAGGGAAGAGGTTGTGTAAATTCAATAAATTATTTTTTCCATTTGCTAGCAATTGTTCAGCCACCCATTCCCAGGCCACACTGCAGCAGAATGAAAAGGCAGGTTAGTGCTCCTTTATAGACATCTCATGTATCCCTGATGCTAAGAGCTGAACACTCATTCCTGAATATGCTAGTACCTTAATTTACATGAAATTTTTCCTTCTGGTTACTCCAGGTTTTACTACTCTCTTTCTGCAGGTAAGCCATCATAGTACATATAAATGAAGATGTTAAAGTACACACAGACAGACAAAATTATATAGGTGAATATATAAACACACTGGTTTATGCACTTAAGACCCCATGGAAGAAATTGTGTTTTAATTCTGTATTTGAATTCAAGCCACCAGAGACTGCAAAAGGTCATGCTTCATTTGCTTGTGTTCCTCTTCCTCTCTTCACAGACTGAAAAATGAAAAATAGACTGCTCTATTTTTGAACCTCAGGGAAACAGCCATCTGAGTCTGTCATGCAATACCCTCCCAATTTCACAGGGCTGGCTGTGACAGGGGTGACGTTTGCTGATGTGGCACAAAGTGTATGCTCAGAACAGAGGCTAATACAGGGCTTGGGAATAATCCAAAGGAAAACATCTCTTTAGGACCCCTGGTAGATGCATTCCTGGTGTATCTGAACAAAGATAATTAGGGCTATGTGTAAAGTCTGGTTTCTCTTTGACAATTCTGAATTTTCTTTTATTTATTTTCTTTCTGTCCATTGTTTTAATACAATAAATGGGTTTTTTCTTCTTTAGACAGCTAGTAGAGCTTGCAGTCTGAATTGAGGAGAGTGATTTTGCTAAAATACACCTGTTTCGCCTGTGCTATTACATTTTTGGCAGGCTATCCCTTCAAAGCTGATGTTATAACACCAGGAAACCCAATTCACTGGCATAATCCAAGTCCAAAACACACTCTGGACATCTCATCTCTAGATGGTAAATGATCAAAAGGTGCATAGGTGGTGCTAGAATGTATCCAAGCATCAGGTAGTAGATCACCTCAGGAATTAAAGCCTAGCAACCAAAGGCATTAAGGACCATTTTCCTTCATAGCTTATCTCACTACTCTTTCCCATTGTATTATTACCTTTATTTTCACAGGGAAGATGACAGATTTGAATCTGAAGAGACTTTTCTTTCATATGGATGACATCCCCACAGATCTGAAGGATGCAATGTGATGTACACAGTGTACTTCTGATACTCAGAAAAAACACACTTAATGCACCAGGTTTTAGATGCCAGAGCACTGATCTTCCTTCTTTAAGTCAATTGCATTTTAGCCTTTGAAAGTCTAGTGAGAAGTGTTTGGCACATTCACATTTATTCCTCTCTTCTGTAGAGAGGAATATGCCAGACATGTCTATGGGTTTCTCCATATGCTGAGTGAGTAGAGTT